GGTAAATCATCATAAATACTTATTATTATATATAAGTACTTTAATAGTTTTCGTTTTTGTTTTATAATTTGCTTCTGAGTAATTCTTTGTACACCATTTTCTGATAGTAATACACCGGTCAAAACAACTGGAACTAAGTTGGAAAAGAAAGTTTTCCTGAACTATTTCCATATTTGTATTTACATATTTAATCATATTTTATCTATATTTATTTATCTAACATTATACAGCAAAAATTTAACATAAGATAAGAAAAGAGTGGTATATTTTCGCCGCCGTTGAAATAGAATTGACTATATAACATTATATGAAACAATAACAGAATACATGCCAACAAAATGTAAAATAGGATTAGTTAACTCTTCAATTTATTATATTAACAATTGTTGTTAATTGTTCTTTCGGTTCTCAGTTACTACTTAATTTGTAATTAATTTTTTTTATCGTGTTCTGATGATTACGTTTTTCCGGATCTAAATTTTTGGTAGAGACTGTATGTTTATTTGTTAAATTGGCCGCGTATTTAAAAAAGCCTCTTATGCTGCCCGTGATTAGTTCAGACGTGAACGAGTTGCATGTTAGTTCGTTTCATAATAGTAATTTACATGCGCTTGGCGAAGTACATACCAAACTTGGATACAAGAACGAAGCTACGGATTGACGATGTGTGAAAACTGGGAAAATCTTATAGTGGACGAGATCAAGAGCGAATTGGTGCTCTTGAGTGAACAGAAAGGCATCACGAAACCTGCGATATCGTGCACGCCGGGTAGTGCAATCGGTGATAATTATTTGGGAGAAATAGTGAATGTAATTATCGAAGGTGATGATGGAAAGGAAAATGGAAAAAATCGCCTTAACATCATTGTAAAGTGTGCCCCAAGGGCAGGAGCGTTTCGGACGAAATTGCCCATGCATCAACTGTACCTCCGAGAGATGTACGCTTACGATACGATTTTTAGAGAATTTTTAAAAATACAGAACGACTGTAATGTCAAGGATGTTTTTAATCCTTTTGCTGTTTGTTACAAAACAATTCCAACGGACGGCTACGAAACTTTGATAATGAAAAATATGAAATCGATAGGATACTATATGGAGAATAGGTTCAAACCGTTGGATTACGACCATGTCCTTTTAACGATCAGGTCTTACGGGAAATTACATGCCCTCTCGTTCGCGCTAAGGGAACACGAACCTGAAAAATTTCGAAAACTTGCGAATAATTTAAAGGAGGAGTTCTTCAGTATAGTTGACCTTCCCGAGAATTATTACGATCAAATAACTAAACCAGCTTCCGATTTATTGGAAGGACCGTTGAAAGAAAAATTTGATGATTACCGTTCCAGACTTCAAAGCATTTTGGAGGAAGAACTGTGTGAAGAGACTCCAGGACGATATGCTGTGATAGGACATGGTGATTGCTGGACCAATAATTTTTTATTTAAGAGAGAGGCAAGTTAAAATATTAATTTTCGATATTAACGATAAGTGGTAATTGTCGTAAAATTAAAAGTATTTCAATTAAAAAATAGTAGAAGTTAAATAAGAAAATCGTTAAACCATCTCCATCATCATGAGATTGTCAGTTCTAAGACTGACTGGACAAGAGCCTCCACATTTTCTTTTCCTAAGATAATTTTCGCATTTCCCTAAAACTAGAACGTTCCACACTCTTAACTATTTGCGAACAGTAATCTTATCTACCTCTACTCCTCTTAACTCCTGTTTTATTTTTAACCTTCTCTATCCACGATATTCTCATCATTCGCCTGTGACACCACATTTCGAACGCTTATAATCTATTCTTTTCCGCCACGCCCACCGTCCATGTTTCGCACTCGTACAACGCCGCACTCCAAAGCCTTTCTAAATTAACTGTTCGCGAGCATAGAAGTGACTTCTTTTTATTGAAGGTGACTTGACCTGCGCTACCTTCTGCTTTATATCCCTACAACTCCTTCCGTCCTGACTTATCTGGCTTTCTAGATACCTAAAATCGGCCACTTTTTCTAATTTTCCACTTCCTACCTTATATTCACTCTTACTTTTACATTTACTTGCTACTACTTTTATTTACTTTTGTACAGTTCTGTTTTGTCAGTACTGCATCCATTTTATTTAAAGCTATCTCTAACACCTTCTTGCTAGATGCTAATAGTTCTACATCATCTGCAAATCTAAGCATACTAATCTTTTGCCCCTGTATATCTATCCCTACAGTTGTACTGCCTTTAATGATGTTAAAATGTAGCAGTGACAGTGTGAATCCTTGTCTGATTCCCTTCCTAATATTTACATCTCTACGTTGCTGCTCCAGCTCTATAACTGCTTGTTACTTTCTATAAAAAATATCACTCTTTGGTCTCCTTAACTCACCCCTACATGTTTAAGTATGTTTAATGTCCCGTTAAACTATATCAGACTGTAAAAGATCTGACTTGTTTCGTAATACGCAATACATGAAAATAAATAAAAAATAACATCTAATACGTATTTCTAGCAAACAAGGCATGACTTGCTTTTTAATTGTCGTAAATAAATCGGATCACTGTCAGGAAAAAAAGTTTTTCTCGCAATGAAGTGTATGATGAACGAAAGTAATTAATAAATATTTAAGCAGAAGGACGTCAAAATAAATTATTATTTATGGTTTTACGTAACCAAAGCATTGCGAGATAATTTATTAGACAATAATCGCTTTATGTGAAAAAGACTGACCTATGATAATAAAGTTAACTTACACTACATACGAAAAAATATTCAAGATATGTACATTTATTTTTTATTTTTCAGAAACTTTAATATTTACATATAGATTGTTATTGTTTTCCACAACACCTATTGTTTTGGTAATGGGAATCATATAAACAATTCAACAACAATACCTTTAGTTTTTCAAAACAAATGGCAACATTACTGTTTTGTAATAATAAATTACTGCTGAACCAAAGAGACATGGCTTCTCACTGTAATACCTACTTACACATGGAAATTGGCCGATGTTGATTGTGTGTTAAAATAAATCATTCAAATTTCAGCTTTTCTTCTAGCTAAGAATTCAACGCACATCAATTGGCCCGGCTGTAATTTTCGTAATCGGTATAGTAGACGACCAAATAAACAGAATAAAAGCATATAAAGTTAGAGTATATAGTGTGTTCCCAATAACCAACCCCTTGTGCATTTCGATAATTTTCCTGAGCGTGAACGACATTCTTTTTCAGTCGAATGCGGTGCTTGTTTATCATCTGCGCTGTAAGTGAAAAAGTAAGGGGCCACGTCTCGATGGTTTAACTGTAATTAATTATCAGTTGAAATACAAAACTAGATGTAAATATTAAGTGAACCAACGATTTGAATAACGAGGGTTTTGTGTAGATACGATTTAGCTTTATGTACAGGGTTTGTCCATAAAGCAACGAAAGGTCCAGTAAAAAGAATTAATTGTTGAGATTGTTTCTTCAAAATAGTCTCTCTTTAAGCGTTGATCCCGAGATACAAATGTTCAGTCTTTTAGAGTCTCTGAAAGCGAGACTCGAGTCTCCATCTCTCATCGAGTCTCTTTGGTGTCGCTGAGAGAGACTGTCAAAAAAACTGTTTAGCGTCTCTAGTCTTTGAACGAGAAACTCGAATCTCTCAATAAGTGTTGTTTCGATAGACATGGTTAAGTTTTCAAAGTTCAACATATTTCAGAGATCCCAGTCTTTCCACGAGAGACTGGAGTCTCTCAATTTTTCAGTTTTATTCATTCGGGCTCTCTGTGAGAGACTCGAATCTCTGAATTAACAATTTTATCGTTCGAGTCTCTCATACAGAGACTGTGAGAGATCCGTAAAAACACCTATGTAATAACTGAGAAACTGTGAAAGACTGTGTGAGACGCTCTCAGAGACGCTGAAAAACTCTGAGAGACTGGTCGTCAGTCCTAAGACTGGTTGGACACGTACCTCCACTCTTTCCTATCCTGAATTAAATTTCGCATTTCCTTAATCCTAGAACAACCCACACCCTTAACTATTTGCGAACAATAATCTAACCTAGGTCTACCTCTACCCCTCCAAACTTCTAGACACTGCTAATAATCTCAATTTTGACATATTTTGTTTTTTAATTATTTCAAGTTTCTTGATTATTACAATTTAATTTGTAATATCAGTTAAAGTACCTAGTAAATTTATTTCTGCTGGGATTTCGGTTTTACAAATTCGTGTCCAAATTGTAATTTTTATTATTTTCGCTTACGAAACAACGGGCTAGTGGGATAAATTGTAAAAATCGCTTTAATATTTGTGTAAATTTTCCTTTTTCATTTTCTCCGTGTAACAGCTCGTCGGATGTAGAAACAGGAAAAAGTCCTCCGGACTGACATCGGGGCTCTAAGACTGGAGCTTTAGCGTAGTGAAGCTTTAAACGATTGGCAATCTAGCAATGCGCTGACAGGCGGCCAGTCTTATTACTTTACGGGCCAACCCTGTATATAGTATTGCATATTTAATGTGTAAATGGGTTCATTCGTGGTAATCAGGGTATTAAAACTTGGCAGGTTGTAATATATCGAATTGATTTATTAATCTAGACGCAAGCTTTCGTCCTTCCGGCAGTCCCTTTCGTTAACGGTAGTGGGTTGACCTCTTCAGGTAATTCTGCAAATTATCACCGATGAACCAATTTACACTTTAAACTCATATTGGTTAATAAGGTTTATATTATTGAAAATGTGTGATTGTATACCGATCTGAAATTCAGTATTTCTAAAATGTTATACTCAAACAGGATTTCGGGACAGCTAAGAAACCAACATCAATAATTTTCCTAGATTGGCAGTTGTGCAGAATGAGCTCGCCGTTTGCCGACTTATTCTATTTTATTTTCGTCTGTACCGATAAGGAGTTCAGAGACATACACTTTTACAATTTAATGGACGAATATTACAAAAGTTTCTCCAATTTCTTGTGGAAACTCGGATGTGATCCTGGCCAAGCGTTTCCCCGGCACATTTTCGACGAACATATGAAAAAGTTCATGGGCTACGGATTGTACATGGCAGTGTCCATATTAAAAATGTTGTTAGCCGAAAAAGATGAAATACCTGATTTTAAAAACATGAGCGAGGAGGATCTTAACAAACTCTTTGCAGAACCTCCTGATATCAAGTCAACTGCCGGCTATGACAAGAGAATAGTCGATGTAATTACCGATGCACAAAATTATGGATGTGTTTACCTTCAGTAGTCTTTTCCATATGAAATACATTTCAACAGGGTGCAACATCTTCAAGCTTAATGATCGTTAAGATGGTAAAATAACTTATGTATCAGTATTACCCAGAGCAACACAAACATTAATCTATTTTGTGAAACAGTTTGAAATAATATAGGGAATTGTTTGTAAAAACTAATAAATATTTAGGAAGTAAACCATTTCTTTGTTTGTTACTGTAAATAGATAAATAAATAGAAGTAACTGTTCTATTTTTGTACATTATACATACACACCAACTGTTACAGAAATAAAATGATTATTTTTAATAAAGGTAGTGTAGGTGTTAGATCTCTATAGGTATATTATTTAATTTCCCTACCAGGTGAAGTGCTAGTATGATAATCTATGTATATGCGGTGAGCACACACTACAATATATATATTTTGTTAAAAATTTTATCGAAAATGTAGTAAAATAAAGCATTTTTTCAACTAGTGTTTTTATTACACATGAAACTATTTTCTATAGGTATGCTATTACAATTTAACTAAGCATTTTTATGCAAATTTAAATTTAATTATTTTGATACATTCCATATGTTAGTAGGTTATCAGAATTTAGCTTTTAAATATGATAAACTTTATACTCTTCAAGTTGTTTCAGACTAACGGTGTTGATCGATAAATTTAAAATTGATTTCCTGTTTTTAAAGCGATTCTACCTATTAATTGTATTCTTCCTTTTTTTTTAGTGTTGCAAGATCAGCAAGTCGTTAATATCTTTCTAAAAATACGTTTAAAAACCAAAAACTGATTAGCAGTAAGTTTTGAATTCGGAATTTTTGTCACATACTGTATATTTATTTACACGTTAAATTGTAGAAGGTATTTAAAAAATCCTACAGCAATCAGGCGATCAGTAATTAGGTCAAACGTAAGCAGGTTATGTAACAGTTTACGATATTAAAACAATTTACGTGTTCTTTGACAAATACGGAATAAAACAGATTAAGAATGTTGGAAAACTGCATGAATCTTATGGGTACTGCATGAGACCGCAGGAGTGAATTGATACAATTCAGTTCACAAAATGGCATTACTAAACCTGTGACATTCTTTATATATATATCGCAGTGCACTTTACTATGGTGACATATAATGGTCGAAGGTGATAATGAGTTAAAATGCCCATGCATTAACTGTTGCTCTGGGAGATGTATGTAGGTGCAGGTGGAGGATTTTTGAATATCCAAAAGGAATGTAACTTCAGGGATGTTTTTAATGGGGGCGGCACTTCACCATGGCTTTAAAAATATGTTCTGTATGTCGCTGAATAATTGACCTTTAATTACAATCCCTCCTTATGTACATTTTGACGTTGAATCTACACTTATTAAATAAATGAAATTGGTATTAGAAGAATAACTTATCATCATAAGATCGTCAGTCCTAATACTGATTGGACACGCACCTCCACTTCTTCCTATCTTGAACTAATCTCCGCATTTCTCTAAAACTAGAACATCCCGCATACTTAACTATTTGCGAACAATAATCTAATCTAGGTCTACCTCTACCCCTCCTAACTCCTGTTTCTGCCTCTAATATGTCTCTGACCAGACCTTGATACCTGAGAAGGTGTCCTACCAACCTATCTCGCCTATTTCTTTTTGACTTCCATAGAGTCCTCTGTTCTCTTATTCTTTCTAATTCCTCTTCATTTTTAACCTTCTCCATCTACGGTAACCTCGTCATTTGCCAATAATACACATTTCAATCGCTTCTAACCTTCTCATTTCTTCAGCGTCTACTGTCCATGTTTCGCACCCGTACAACGCCGTACTCCAAACATACGCCTTTAACAACCTTTTTCGAATTTCTAAATTAATCGTTCACGAGCCTAGAAGTGACTTCTTTTTATTGAAGGCGACTCGACCCTTCGTAATATGCTTTATATCCTTACTACTCCTTCTGTCCTGACTTATCTGACTTTCTAAACCTAAAATCAGTCACTTCTTCTAATTTTTCGTCTCCTATCTTTATGTTCGCTCTTTCCCTACTTTTCTTCCCTTGCATTCCAGTATTTCTGTTTTATTTTTATTTATTTTCATATCATACTGTTTTGTCAATATCGCTTCCATTTTATTTAAAGCTATTTCTAACTCCTCCTTGCTAGATGCTAATACTGCTATAACATCTGCAAATCTAAGCATACTAATCTTTTGCCCCCGTATGTCTATCCGTACTGACTTCCTTCCTAATATCTAGTTCTCTACGTTGCTGCTCCAGCTCTATAACTGCCTGTTGCTGTTTATACAAACTAAGGATCACTATTCTATCTTTTTAACTCATCCTTACAATTTTAACATCTTGTCCCATTTAACATTGTCAACCGCTTTTTCCAAATTTACAAATCCCATGTCCGCACTTTTTTATCGTTTTCTCTATTGCTACCCGTAAATCTAGAATGGCCTCCCGCGTTCCTCTATTTCTTCTAAACCCAAATTAATTTTCCTCTAATAGTTGTTCCCTTTTTCCATCTCTCTCTGAACAATTCTAGTTAAGATGTTTGACGCTTGTGAAGTTCAGCTAGGTTAAGAAGGACATAGTATTTAAACAAATCTCATGTCACTATGGGATTCCCTTGTAACGAACAGCTGAATTTATATACGTAATTATTTTATATAATTGTTGGTTGTTTTGTAAAGTGGTTCGCAATTATATCGAATTCATGACCGGTAAAAAATTGATGATACTAGCAATGATAGTTATTTGCAGCCAATAATCGTCCCGACCTTGTTTTCAATATCATTAAATCATTATCCTACTTTATAGTGAATTTGCGTTTTTTTAAATTTAATAAGTAGGTAGGTACTCAAGTATCTATCAAGAATTAAATACGTTTATTATTGTAAACATAACGTCATTTAAATTTGCTTTTGATGTTATCACTATGCAATAGTATTCTATGTACTTATCTTTGGTTTTAACATAGACTTGTTCATAAAGGAAATCTGTATTTGTTGGAAAGCGAATGATTGGATGTCCTGAAATAATCTGATGATTAATAAAGCGTCTAATAAAATAATGAAGCTACCTATAAGTAAATAACCCACCTTGGATATCCATGAAGTTGTCTTTCGTCAATTATTTAGTTAAAGGTCACCAATCTTTCGACGTGTTGAACATGCTTACTAGTAAATTCTTAGATGAATAATTAGACATTGAATGTTCAGTATTATACAGTTCAATAAATTTCCCTAAAACAATTATTGTAGCTTCGGTGGATAACGAAATAACTAGGTACAATTAGTAAAGGTAAACTACAGCGATTCACGCTTCTGCAAGCTCGGCACTTATTCCTGTTACACCCTGTGTACAAATATACTCACCTATACAGTAAAAGCTCTTTATTCGCGGGGTATACGTTCCATAAATATGCCGCGAATACAGAAACCGTGGATATGGAATGGTAATTAGTATGGAATCATAGCGGTTACGTTCTAAGGTTCCAAAATAATACCAAAATGTATCAAAATAAAATCAATGTATTGATAAATTTGCAGTTAAAATTAATCGTTATAAGTAACTAGGCAAAAGTTTAAAAAATTTGAATTTTGAAATTAGTCCAGTCGGTTACATTTTTTATAAAAGCCGCTTCGGCATGTACCAACTCTACATACATTAAGGGTATTCAGTAGAACACGCGCCGTAGAGTAAAAACATGCTTATCGGTTCTAGATATCATGAGTTTAGTATTTGGAACAGAGGTTTGAAATTTTGTAGTGAGATAGATAAAGCTTTGTTCTAAAGCTTGTCGAAGACCATTTTTTAATTTTTTAATTTCTATTGAAAATACGTATCGTACAAGAAGCATCAACTTTAAGCACTTGCAAAAGCTTTTAATGACGATATTATTGAAAACCAAAAACGTACCGAGTTAGTGTGAATATTTGTTTGTTACCATACAAAAAATTACATA